TGTGACCTTGACCTGACCTTCGCTACGCAACCCAAGGTCAAACTGATGTGATCAGTAAATACATCTTTTTAAACGCCACAACTTTTATCTGAAACATTTTTTTCTAAAATGCTTAGTTTTCGAGATATTTCACCGGTCCGGGACTTTTTGAACACCCTGTATATCGACCGAGGGTCGGCTCCGTCGTGACGTGCTGGACTCCCCGACATGGGAACGCGACGTCCGTCCATACGTACGTATGTTCGTTCGTTTACCCACAAGGAAGACCGATAGTCAAAAGCAGCATCGGGGATCAGACGGGCGCGTTTTAGCGGTAAACGCGAGGCGTGGCTTCCGGACTTTCGCGTTACGGCGCTCGCTATCGAGGACAGGCATAAATCGTGGCCGGTCCGTGAGCGAGCGCGTAGAAGGGCGCGTACACCCAGATCTCTCCGCGTACGCGCGCACAAAAGCGAAAGGTTATTAACGGGCCTAGATTAAACCCGATAACACGGCGCGGCGGTATCTTTTGGCTCGTGGCGATGCACGAGGCACCCTTTGCCGGCGCTGCACACCACCGCCGCTCGCTCGTTATCCATTTTCGCCGTTAACGTTTAATACATTCCCTGGCGAGCGAGCGGGCGCGCGCTCGCGCGCGCACCCCGGCCGTGCCAGTCGCAAGCCTCGGCTCCACAAATTTTGCAAAACACCGATATAAATCGTTTGATAACGCGCATGGCCCTGGGCATCGATATATACAGCGCGAGGGAGTCGACGGCAAGCGGGCGGCACGGGGGGAGGGACGAGGGTGACTGCTGCGGGCGAGGGTGCAGGAAAAGGGAAGAGATGGAGGATGGGTCCGGTGGAAATTTGGCGATATGCCAGGCTCACCGACGACGACGCTGATGCTGCTGCTGCTGCTGCTGCGAAGTGCGCACCGGACCAGCCGGTGCATCGCGTCGTTCGGCCAACGTGTCGGATGACGTAGCCGATATCGCTAATTGCAAAAACTACCACCGCGAAACACCGCCCGCGGCATCCACACCCGACTTTTTAAACTGCGTTAAAGCGCGTATGTTTAGCTCATGCTCTCTTTCTCTCTGTCGTCCGCCTCCCTCCCTTTCGCCCCTCACTATCATCCCCTCTCTATCCAGCTCTTTCTCTTTCTCTCTCTGTTTCTCTCTCTCTCTCTCTCTCTCTCTCTCTCGAATTCGATACCATCATAGGTAATTTAGACGTTTCTTTTAACACGAAACCGCAACGCCAGCGATGTTTGCCGTCGACGTTGATGCGGCCCATCGGCGTGTAGAATTTCGCGAAAACTTTTCTAATATCTGGCCGTGCGGCGTGGGATACAGGGAGTTTTTAACTGCCATTGCCGTATACGTACTCGATATTATATCAGGCGCACTCCTCGACATCGCTTTTAATTAATGTTGATACATAAAAGCGCGCTGAAAATATATACATATGGGGTGCCCGACAATTTACAACACATCCCTTGTGTGCAGATAAAACTCATCAAACTGAACACAAAATTCTTCTACTCCTTTGCAATAAATCACGTACAATTTTGAGTTAACATATTAATCAAAGATTAGTGAATGATCACGCGCAATACGGTAGATGAGCTGTGACGGCGACGTCTGCTGTTGTGTGCTGGTACATTAGAATAGTAGAAGACTTCTTTATTTACATACTCCATTTTGCAAGTAATTACGTAGATCTTAATTGATAATTCTAAATTTTAGGCGGTTTATTTGCGAGATCGTAGGGAAATTTTGTGTTCAGTTTAATGAGTTTTACTGGCATACAACGGATGTATCATGAATTGCCAGACACCTTGTATTTAAACTATATATACGTATAATATAATGTATAATACAATAATATTAAAAAACTCCGAATAGGAAATTCGCCGACAGAGGAGAGAGGGGGAGGAACGGAAGAGAAAAAAAAAGACATAAATACCGCACATTGTGATAAATTCGCTCAAACGAGCAATAATAGATTTTTATTCGTGAAATATTAAACAACGCAGAAATTCGCCGTCTCGTAGGCAACGAATTCGTGCGCTCGTTCAGCCGGTCAAAAATCCCGAGCCTCATCGAACGGCGGAAATCCGCGACGAGACTCGCGTCTAGCGCGTCGGGAAACGCTCCCGAGACTTGTGCAGCGGCGCGGACACTTACGGCAATTAAGCATTTCTCCTTTACAGGATCCACAAACTCCGGGGTAGAAAAAAAAACTAAATAAATAGAGGAGAACTCGGTGGTGGTTCGTCTCGCGCGCACGCGTAGGTAGCCCGCGAAGGACGAGGGCGATGTGAATACGCGGTGGTTGGTAGTGCCAGGGAGCTTGTGCAAACACAAAAGCTCACGGCTGAAGATAAACAGTGAGACTGTAAGCTGCAACATACCTCCGGGCATTGCGCGGGTTGGTAGGATAGAGGCAGGAACAGCCACGGAAGGAGAGAAATACACGGACGTTGCAAGACTAGGAAGCTTTCGAGGGGTACGGGGCGACGGGGCAGAGCGAGTCCGGACGAAGATATGGAGGAAGGGGGGAGTAAGACGCGCGGAGAAAGCTCGGGCGAAAAGAGCCACCTATAATGTTGACACCTATACCTAACAGCCGAAGGCTGGCTGCCTGTATTCGCGAGGGGAGAGGAGTCCTCCGTGAACTTACGACATTAGACCGTCTGCGGAATAAACTCTCGTTTTAACGGCGAAAGTATACATGACGCGTAATCCACTTTGTTTTTCTCGGCGCGCTTCGTGCGAGATTTTTGCGTGGCGCGCGCAACGGAGTATCTCCGGCGCTCGTCGCGAATCTTTTCGGGTCGGGAATTTGCATCGCTCACGGCTTGCGAATTTCGTCCGGGTGGCCGAACGGACGCTCGGTCACCGTGCAAAAGCGCCGTCCGAAGCGCGAACAAGAGCCGGCTTTGCGCATCGACGTGTTATACGCGAAGAAAATATTGCAGTAAAAATTACACTAAGATAATATTTCATTTCACGATGTTTTTCATGAAGCTGGACCTGCCCAGATAAACAGGTATGCTTCAGTTTTATAGCAATTTTACTAGTGGATTCGTGAAGGTTGTGTCTCTTATGAATGGTTTACATGTTTATGGCATTCGCATTTATCATATAAAATGACGAAATAGAAATAGTAAAAAAATGATTAAAATTTGCTCAATATGGCCGTAGTGATGCAAGAGTGATCTAACCCACATGAAATACATTTTTAGGAAAATGAAGATAAATTTAACATGATTTAAAAAGTGCAGATAGCACTGAAAATCATTCAAGAATTCAACCATGATCAATTTTTTTCTCTTTAAGGGTAATCGTTGATAAGCTTAATCTGCTTAACAAGTTTAATAGACAAAAAGACAAGTTTAGTGGGTAACTAGTAAAAAATGGCGGAACTAGTAAAAAATAAAAACAACTTCTTAATTAATTTTAACCACCTATATCTTCTTTCGATACAACAAAGTGCCCATTGACAAAATTAAAGTACAAGTAAGGAATAATAATTTGACATAAGTTTGATCTCTCCACGGGGGGGGAGGGGTTATCTCATATATTTTAGACATTCTCCTTTGCGAAACACTATGTCATATAAAATAGAATATAAAAATCTCAATGTAATCTTTAGTAAATTTCAATTTTAGTAATAAATATAACAAAAAATTTACAATATTATATGATATAAATTTAATGATATTAATATGTACTACCTAAATATATTTCCCTCATAAATGTAATTAAAAAATTATAAAGTTTTCATCGTCGATTGTTTCACGTTATCACATAATCACGAAAATCTATCTGGAAATAATCAATTTGACGATCTGCTGAGTACAAGATATAAGAAACACTCAGGTAATAACAATAATTTTGTGGTAAAAAGTCAAATACACGTAATATTATTTTAAATAACAATAACATTTTTAAATATAGGATCTATATAAAAATATATAAGTAGTTCCGATTATTTCTGCATGGTCCAAGATTACAAAAGTTTGTTGCAAATTTTATTTCCAAAACAATATATCTTCCGTGCATAATATCGCGGCTGAGTTTGAGCTGATTTTAGCTTCTCTAATATTTCGTTGCAAAACATAAAATTTCAAGATGCTTCGCGTCTTACCTGTTGTGGTTGGCGTTGGATGGGTCAGAAATCGTCCTGCAACAAACACAAATGCTCTTGCTAATTAATTATGTTCAACAGAAACTCGCGATTAATATAATTATGCCAATTTATTGGATTGGAAACACAATTAGACAACGCAATATTAGATTAATTAGCCAAAGTGGACTTTCCGTTTTGATAACGTAATAAAATAAGCGAAACAATTGCTATTAATTACAAATTGCGCAGTTCCTAAAGCTACGCTACTTGTAATGCCCTCGTAGCTTTTAACAACGTGGACACATTCATATCGCTCAGTATGAAAGTTTGCACCGGAGAAGGTACAAAGGTCGTTTCCGATAGACCGATTGTAAATAGCTCGAAGCGAAGGTGAATAAGTATATTTCGAGGCAGCTAATCTAGCTTCATGTCTTAACTTGTAACTAGGTTAGTGGACGCGTGCTCATCGCTCGTGACAGAGGTTTGCACTTCAAAATTACGTGATGCGGCTTACGCTCTTCCTACGTGTTCCCCAGATACCGGTCATTACTTGCAGCTACGAAAATTCGGCCGTGTACGCGCGCACGCGAGCGAGAAATAAATTAATTCGAGCAATGAACATCGAAAGTACGGTGAAACCTGAAATAAATAATACGTTTATTGCGGCTCGAACGCGCTCGGACTACACTCTTGGCGCCTGAATCTTTTTGTTGCACCGCGAGCATAAAATAATCGATACGCCATTTGGTGCGCGTGCGGATAAACAAAAAGGAAGCAAAGAGACCAAAAGGTAGAGCGATATTATAGCTTTTATGCCGCAGAAACTGATAGCGTCAACGATTATCCGTCGAATTTATCACGAACATACCTCTCGGGCGCCTGCCTGTGTCGGGCTCGTGTATATAATTTATTATCACTTGGCGTTACTAAAAAATGCCTTTACTGATTCATTCGCAGACGCATAAAAACCACGCCGCCATACATTACGCTGCGGGCACCCTTGTACCCACTTTACGCACACACAATCAACTGTGCTATAAAGCGCATCTCAACTTGGTGATATTTCTCCCCCGCACTTTTGTGTTTTACTACTTCGAGCATGAATATAAGGGACGAACGGAGTCTCGGAAAGTCGGGCGCGACCTTTCACCAGCTCGTTGTCCTCATCAAACATTTTTCACGATGTCGCACCTCGGCGATCCATTTTTTCCCGCGATTACGAGGGGACCGGGTCTAATTGGTCCGAGGGATATGTCGGTCATGTGTTATACACTTATGATGAGCGAATCGAAACTGCGCGCACGTAAGCTATTCTTTTTTTAGAACGCATACTACTGTGTCCAAAAAGTAAGACCAGTTTTCAATTTAAATCGCGCGGGTAAACCGCACATCATAAATATTTTTTTTCTAAGTTGGCAGCATTGTGACAGACATCTGTGACAAATTTCATGTCAAAACATTCATTACTTTTTGCTTTACGCTTGGTTTTGTACGACGCTAAAAGTGCATTCGGCGATTTTTACAATGTCTAATTATATTGAGCAAAGAAGTTGCATTAAATTTTGTTTGCGGAATAAAATTTCGAGTGCAGAAACGTTCAAGATGTTGCAGAAAGTCTTCGGGAACCATGCTTTGTCGGAAAGGAATGTTTACAAATGGTATAAACAGTTCAAAGAAGGTCGTGAAAGTGTTGAAGACGAAGAGCGTTCCGGACGACCATCAACCTCTACCGATGAACAACACGTCAAAAAAATCGAAGAACTTGTGCTTGCTAATCGTCGAATGACTGTTAGAGACCTTGCTGATGCTGTTGGTATTTCGAAAGGATCTGCCAATACCATTTTGAAAGATATTTTGGGCCTGAAACGTGTAAAATCTCGACTAGTGCCAAAACATCTCGATTACTGCACTCGTTCTTCGTGACTTTTTCGCCAAAAATTCGATCCATATCGTTCCACAACCACCGTATTTGCCTGATTTAGCACCGTGTGACTTCTGGCTATTCCCGAAACTCAAAAGACCACTGCGGGGAAATCGTTTTGAGACGATAGAAGAGGTACAACGTGAATCGCTACGCGTTCTGAAAGCCATCCCGGAAGGCGACTTTAATTCTTGTTTCGAGGACTGGAAAATACGTTGACATAAGTGTATTGTGTCGGGAGGGGATTACTTTGAAGGCGACGAAATAGATTTGGAAGAATAAATAAATATTTTTTGAAATAAATAAAAACTGGTCTTACTTTTTGGACACAGTAGTATATTTTTCTTCGAGTTTCATTAAAATCGGAATAATATTACAATTAAAAAAACAGAAAAGAACTAATTTAGGAGTAACTAAGTACATTTGTGAGTAAAATTTGGTATTAATATTCACTCATTGTGAGTGAATAAACTCAAGGGAATGCTGGAATCGATAATGTATTCGAATAATGTAATGCTCTGTGATAACGCAGAAGCAATCGTCACTAACATAATCACACTATCTTTTTCATATTTCTTATATATACAGAATTTACGTAAATGTGTATTGCTTTGTTTTATTATATTCAGCGGAAAACCTATCCACGCATGTATAGAAATCTTTCTCCAAAATTTCTCGGTAGTCTTCAGCTCCTGAATTTAGATGCGAAGGTACAGCAATATTCTTCCAAATTTTTCTGTTTAGATCATCACACTTTTATTCTAATAATAAGTTAAAAAATATTTAAAAATAAACAAAACACATCATCAAATACTTGAAATACAAAATACATTGCAGTACTTATGTGGGAAAAAATCTAAAAGATTGGATATTTATCCTATTAGTTCAGCGTTCTGCCTTTGAATCTCAGAGAATTTCTTCAGAGACATCAATTTTTCCATTGTTGATATTTTGGAAGAATTCATACATAATTATTTTTAAAATAATGATTAAAATGTTAAATTAAATTATTAATTTAAATTATTAATTATAAATTACTAAATTAAATATTAAATTAAATAAGTATTACTTTATTGTTGTATTAATTATTAAAATAGTAATAAGATAAAAAATACCTACTTTTCCCTTTAAATTGTCAAAAAATAATTATAAATTAATATTATTGTTAGACAATATAATTATTAATTTAATGAATGCTTTGTCAAAAAGTAATAAAATACCAAATTTACCAAGAAAAAATTAATCACATAATTAGTCGGATCTGACAGGAGAGCCCACCGGTGGAGAAATTAGGCTTTATACTGAACAAAATACAATACCACTTATCTAACCTAACCAGCTGCTGCGGGAAACTCTTAAAAGACCTACGACAACACAATTTCATTTGCGCTTGCGTACTAACTGTAGAAAACGGATCGAATTAAGTTCGACACATAAGTGTTGAAAAAGAGTTAATTAAGTTCTGCGAATCACATTAAGATGGCGTAATACTTAGTGAAAGAATATTTTGTGACTATTTCTGATGTTTCATTTTTCAAAGATTGTTTATACAGATATAAAAGAAATTATTCCAAGTTATTTCATGTTGATATAAATATATTTTTGTTCGGTTTAAAATGACTCCAGACAAATAGCATGTTTGCCATAGCATTCTCCTGTTCTTAATTTAAAGAAAATAGCCGCAGGAACAAAACGATTGATTTAAGAAGCGTATGGTAATGGTGCAGTATCTGCAGATACATGCGACAGATAGTTTCAAAGGTTTAGAAGTGGTAATTTCGATCTTGAATACAAAGGACACTTTGGACCAGCAAAGACGAAAACAGCAGATTTGCAAGCGCTGTTGAAAGGAGATCCGGCCCAATCGGCGAACTTTCAAAACAGCTTAGAGTGAATCATGTTACTGTTTGAAAGCGTTTGAAAGCGCTTGAAAAGGTCCAGAAGGAAGGAAAGTAGGTGTCACATGTGTTGTCTAAAAATGTGATTTTAAATCGGTACAACATTTGCGTTTTTCTTTTATGCCGATTCAAGAAAAAGAGCCTTTTGAGTCGAATTGTGATTAGAAATTAAAATGTATATACTTCGATGATCCCAACAGAAAACAAAGTTAGTTGAATGCGAATGAAGCAGCTCTATATGCAAGACATGCTATTCACAGTCACAATGTTTTTCCTTGTGTATGGTGAGTGAGAAGGATCGTTGTATATCATGAGCTGTTAAAATTTGACCAAACGGTAACAGCCAACAATTAATCAAATTTAAGGAAGAATTAGCGAAAAAACGTCTACTGATGGCGTCGGACGGTCGGAGGTCATTTTGCAAGATCACACGCTACTAAAACTATCGCCAACACCATAGTAAATCTAAATTAGGAAGTATTTTCTCGCCCTGCCTATTCTCCAAACGTTGTGCCTTGCGTGCCTTGTGACTTCGGATCATTTGTTTCGTTTCATGAAACACGGCTTTAAAGGACAGCGCTTTCGAAATGCTGACGAAGTGGGCGATTGGGTCGATAACTTTTTCCAAGGAACCATTATTCTACAGAAATAGAATCCAATTCTTGTCTGGAAAATAGCAGAAGATCGTAGAAACTAATGGCAATTATTTTGGTTAAAAATATTGTTGTAACTATTTTATTTTAATAAATACTTTTAAGCATAAAATTCCTAACTTCATTAAAGATCTAATATATTAGATCTATAGACAAAAATACGAAAAGAATAGGCGTGATCGTGATTACTGACGATCGTCTCTACGTTATCAATTTTTAGAATTCGTCATCTGCTTTAACATCTCTCTTAGTAATGTGTTATCAGTTAGAATGAAGTTTCCTGCAAGTGATACACTGTTGCGAATAACAAAAGTAATTTTCATTCATAAAATTATTGAAATTGAACGTATGGATGGACAAAATAAAGTTGGCCACTTTTGAAGAGCCGACAAGATTGTAAATATCTGTATTTGTAATACAGGTATTTGTAATACCTGTAGTGGAGAAAGTATTAATCAGGATATTTTTTATAGCTTGCTAGTCAAACTTAATCCTGTACTAAGGCAATATAATCACGTTACAGCATCTTCATATTTCGATTATTATAGAAGAAAATATGAGGGAGATCGGATTTAGAAATCT